GATGAATCGCTTCCTGCTAGCCTCCATACCGAATGGACCACGTATGCAGCGCAATTGCAAGAGTTAAACAATATGGAGTGCAACAGTCACGTAACCCAACGAGGCTGCAAACGCATCGAACTCCACGGATTTTGCGACTCCAGCGAGCAAGCATATGGAGCGTGTCTGTACGTCCGGACAATAGATAAGATGGGACACATCGAAGTCCATCTACTCTGCGCAAAATCTCGCGTCGCGCCTTTGAAAACGATTACTCTCGCACGGTTAGAGTTATGCGGGGCCACACTCTTGGCATCTTTATACGCCTCCGTTCGAAAGGCGATCTCGCGTGATTTCCAAGAAGTGTTTTTACACTGACTCCACAATCGATCTCAATTGGGTCAACAAACAGCCTAATACATTGAAAACTTTCGTAGCGAACCGCGTAGCCGATATACAAGGCAAAACCGATACGCAAATGTGGCGGCATATCAAATCGGAAGACAATCCAGCTGATTTGATTTCGCGAGGCATCATGCCCGCACAATTTTATCGCAACACATTCTGGTTTCACGGTCCTAAGTGGCTTGCAAACGATCAAACAAAATGGCCAGAGTCAAGATTCAGTTTGATAAACGAGGTACCTGAATCCAAAAGTGTCACATGTCTCCTAAGCTCGATCGTTCGGAGCGACGAGATCTTTACCCGGTATTCATGTATCAAAAGGCTCACGTTGCGTTGCGTACTGTCTTCGTTTTCGTCGACGCATCGCTGGATCATTGACCATCGAAGAATTGCACGAGGCCGAATTGCGTATCGTCAAGCTGACCCAATTCACCACGTTCGAGAAGGACATCAAAGACCTCGAAAGCGGAAGAATACATCTGAAGAGTCAACTCCGATCACTTAACCCTTTCCTCGACGAACGGGGATTGCTCCGTGTCGGAGGGCGTTTACAGAACTCGGAGCTATCGTTTGCGCAAAAACATCCGATTTTGTTGCCGAAAGGAAACCACGTGACCGACCTAATCATATGTGATGCTCATATTCAAAATCATCACGCAGGTGTCACGTCAACCCTTTATAATGTGCGACAAACTTACTGGCCTATCGATGGGAAAAATAAGACACGAAAGATTATTCGGCGATGCGTCAGGTGCTTCCAAGTCAAACCACCTGCGGTCGAATATATTATGGGTAATCTACCTGCGGCACGGGTCACCGCACCAGACCATTTCATACCTGCGCCGTAGATTATTGCGGACCTTTTTACGTAAAGGAATGGCGCTACCGGAACAGAGCGAAAATAAAGGTTTACGTTGCAATCTTTACCTGCTT